GTTCCACCATCTCCCAACAGTGCCACCCCAAAGACAAGCCTTCAACACATGGCCTTTGGGGGATATTCTGGATCCAAAACTATGGCACACGGAGAATCATGTCTGACCAAACGCCTGGAAACCCTGTTGCCGAGCCAGGCCAAGGCATGAAACTCGGGGGGATTTCTGCAGGCACGGCAGCTGATGCTCCTCCACGGCCCTGGCCCAGGCAGAGCCCAGGGAGCAAAGCCCCCGTCGTCCTACCCCCGGGCTTTGGCCAGGTGACATGAGGCCAAGCTGGTGCCAGGGGAGGAGCACCCTGGCAGAGCCAGGTCCCCCTTCCTAGGCCCCCTCTGGACTGTGGCTTGTCTCCCCCAACTGCAGCACGGGGTCCCTCCGATTATGGTGTAGGCTGGCCGTGGAAGGGGAAGGGGAAGAGCTCAGCAGCCCCAGCAGGGCCTCGCTTCCAGCTCTGGGTGCAACGTGCCCTCAGGGGAGTGGATGGAGCCAGGGCCTTCTCGGCAGCTGCTCTGTCCATCAGGGCTGAGCTAGGACTCTCCCTTGCTGCTTCTCCAGAAGAGCCCAGGGTGCCCAGCAACAGCTTTTCCTGTCCTTCGTGTCTCTCATGGACAGCGAGTAGCAGGGGCTAGCATAGGGACCCAGGAAGGGCTCCCGAGAGTTTCCATGTCCCTGTCAAAACTAGGTCCTGGGGACTGGGTCTTAAGCCCAAAGGTAAGGGCAGAGCCACTGCAGAAGGCAGGCTGAACTGAGGCAGCCAGAGCCCCAGGGCATGAGCAGGTCTAGGGCCGGCTTGGGCCTCTGCTGCCCTCTCTGCCGTTGAGTGCCCTGCTTTGCTGTCCCTGCAAGGCCACAGGATGTGGGTCAGACTTGAGCTCCTGCAGACGCAGCCCTAGAACTCGGTGCCTGCACACAGGTCACAGCTGTCCCTGTCCCAGGACTTGATCAGAAGAAAACCTGAGTCTCCAGTTAAAGAACTACTGTTGACTTTCCTTCCAGGTGAACTGACCGACGTAAAGTCCTGACTAAACACACAAAAAAACAATAAACCTTTATATCCTAAAATAAAGAAACCCCACAAGCCAAAAAGATGCTGCATTAGTTAGGACTGCCACATGCCCCTTGCCACACCACAGCTCAATCCCCAGATGGAAGATGGAACTGCTGTCCCGGCTACTGTCACCTCCTTGTGTTAAAGCTATTATCACCCGAATGTGCTCCTCCAGAAAAGGGCAGTTAGCCTGGTGGTTCCTGGGGCAGCCCAGGACCGCCCAGGAACCTTCCAGTTCAGGGTGGAGACAGAGCTGGCAGCCTCTGTCCCAGGGGGTCTTCCACAGAGAGGCCTGGATATGGGAAAGGACGACCCTGGAGCCAGAACGTCCATAATGGTCACATCAACACTCCCCCAATGACAACATTATCACTGCAGTACTAGGGGTGGCCAGGAGGGTTCTACCTCTGAGCTACATCTCCAACTCTTTTAAAAATTTCTATTTTGAGATGGGGTCTGGCTAAGTTGCTGAGATTCCAGTCCCTGGGATGACAGATGGGTGCCATAAGGCCTGGCCCAATGACAGTATTAATAAAGCTGCTGATATAATCATTAAAAACTTCACAGTGGCTCATGTCTGTGACCCCAGCAGCTCAGGAGGCTGGGGTAGGAGAATCAGGAGTTCAAAGCCAGCCTCAGCACCTTGGTGAGGCCCTGAGCAGCGTAGTGAGACCCTGTCCCTAAATAATATATAAAAAGGGCTGGGCATGTGGCTCAATGGTTAATGATTGTCTTGGGTTCAATCCCTGGTCCAAAAGAGAGAAAAAAAAAAAACACTAAAAACTTAACAATGTTTGCCTATGCTCCCTCTACTCTAAAAAGCAATAGTAGGACACCTGCCGCCTGGCACCCTGTCCTCCTTCCCAGCCTGACACCAGCCCCGTGCACTCACACAGGCTGTCTGTAGCCTCTTCTCTAGAGCCCCAAGGAAGGCGTACCGAGGACACGCTCTCCCACACAACCTGGCACATGCACCAGGGCTCCTAACTTCAGTCCCTTTACTGGACAAAAACCCATCGGCTCACTCTTCCCTTGAAGAGTCGTAAGTATTCCTTTTGCTTCTGGCCTAAAGCTCAGTCCTCAAAAAACCTGATCTCCCTCCCTAAATGCCCCAAGGGTGAGTCTTTAAAAACATCCAGCGGGCACCACGGTGCACACATGTAATCCCAGCACTAGGGAGCCAGCGGCAGGAGGATGGCGGGCTCTAAGCCAACCTCAGGAACTTGGGGAGGACCTCAGTCAAAAAAAAAAAAAAAGGCAGGGGCAAGGCCAGGGGTGTGGATCCAGTACCAAAAAATACTCAGCCTGTCTACGAAAATATTTCCTGATTTTGGTCCTTCTTGGGTCTCACTCTTCCCGTGTCACCCAGGTTTGATCTTGGCTTATCTTCCACGTGCCGCTTTCTAAGTCTTTCCATCTGCTCCTTTCCTCCCGATGGTAAAACCACACTCTGCTGGGTTTTGCTGTCTCACATTTCTGAATTTTTTTCATTCATGATATTTTATTGTGCCAGCTCATTTCCGAGTTTTTCTAATTCTCATGTGTTTTCTGCGTCTCCTGTCATCTCCTTCATGTCAGTTAGTTCACATTTTAAAATTTGAGTCTTAATGCTGGGCCATCACCCATTGGCAGGCGCACGTCCCCCACTGAGGTGTCCTGCGGTGCCTCTTGGCTTCGCCTGGCCTCGATGTCCAGACCTTTGGATGCTCATTTTCCTGTGAAAATGTTTCCAGCTTTCAGAAGAAGGTGGTCTCTAGCTCAGAGCTCCCTCTTCTGTATCTTTGGTGGGGTCTGAGACACATGTGCACCTGCTCTCAGGGGTCCTGCACCCACCTGGGCTCGCCCCTCCTCTGAATCTATATTCCTCAGCAGGGGACCTGCTGGGAGCCATTAGCCAAGTAGGTATGACAATTTCCTTGCCAGCGTACCCCATGTTGCTTAGTGGAAGGACTCGTGGAAATAGGACATTTTGCAGTGACATTGCATGTAAGGTGACCTTGCTCAAGGACCAGGGCGGATCCGGGTTTAGGGCGTTCCCGGTTTAGGACAATCCGGGTTTAGGGTGGTTCCAGGTTTAAGGTTATTCCTGCTGGGAATAGGGCGTATCCTGCTGCCTGAGTTCCCCTTGAGTTCTCACGGGATTCAGACAGTATTTTTTGGGAGACAGAAGCCCAGTGGGGGTGGATTTGGGCAGAGAACGTGGATTTCCCCAGAACATGATTGTAGAGTGCTGGTGTGATTTCGGGAATAAAGAGTTGCTGTTTGAATCTACAAGCTGTGTGGTGGCTCGTGATTTTGTGCCCAGCCAGACTGCGGCAGGGACCTTTCTAGGAGGGAGTCCTGGCAGTCAGTTTAGGGTCCTAAGGGCCCATTCTGCTTCTCCTAGACCTGTCCATAGAGCTCTGCGCTGGTCAGCCATGGGGGTTACAGGAGAGTGGCCAGCCCAGCCTGTTTTGCTGCTCTCAACCCCTGCCTCCCTTCCAACACTGAGAACCTGCGGGTCACATGCATCTTATGGCTCTTGGTGGTTTGACCTATGCTTGTCTCCCAAGAGGCACCTATCACCTGGCTTTATCATAAACGATGTCCACTGGATGTCCTTCTTGTTCATACAAGCGTGGCTGTTCTTGCGACTTTAAAGCATACAGTTCAGCTTACCCGTGGTTTTAGGTTCTGTAGCCTAGTTGTGTGGCTGCGGGGATGCCACCACTATCTTCCCAGAATCCGGCTTCCCTAGCCCTAACTTCAAAGGCAATGCTGGCTGGTTTGCCACAGCCTAAGGCCAGCCTGTGCTCCTACAGGGATCTGGCACGCCGTGGTTCCGTCCTCCAAGGTGGATGGCGAGGAGCACTGTGCAGGACACTCCCTTCCAGGGGCACTTTCTGAAGACAGTCAAGGGATGACTGAGATAACCCCGACTGGCTGGTTTCCATACCGCTTCTGGCTCTCATCGAGTACCAGACCAGCAAGCCAAAGGCCATCGGGAAGCTGGTCTGACTCATCAGCATAGGAACACGCAGAATTCCATAAAAGCCTTCCATCCACACCAGCGAGTGGTGTGGGTGCCACTCGGGCTAGGAAATTACCTAGTCCGGCTGCCTGGGGACACACTTGTCATCCAGGCTGCAGCACATGCCCAGGCTTCCCACCCCACCTGATGGCCGGACACCTTGGCGGATCCCCAGGACCGACCCTAGCGAGGAGAAGGAATAACCCCTGGATTCTGGGCCCTAGCAAGCCAGCCATGGTCTTCCCAGCCTGCCCTGTACTGCACAGGGTAAGAGCCCACTCCGCAGCCTGGTCTCCGCTGTCCCTACAGATCCACTGATGGCAGGGGAGCTGGGATGAGGCAACCCAGCCTTCGGCAGGCCATGCCTGCCTGCTCCATTTCCCGAGGCACCTGCTTCATAAGGAAACACCCCATCAAGCACACCATGGCGGCCACAGAAGAGACACAGCATGACTTCTTCCAGACACGGGATCGCCACCACTGGGTCTCTCTTCACGACTCACAGGGGCACTGGCTCAGCTCCGCTCTCCCCTGACAGTCCTGCCAAGGTAAGCATTTCCTTGAACTTCGGAGCACTGGTCCTCTGGCCTTGGAAAGCCTCTCCTTCCCTTGGCTCTGCACCTTCCCTCAGCTCTGCACCTTCCCTCAGCTCTGCAGTCTCCAGTGAATTTCACACTCAGGAGGGACTCTGAAGCCAGGTGTGGTGGGGCCAACCTGCAATCCCAGTGACTCGGGAGGCTAAGGCAGGAGGACCGCAGGTTAGGGGCCAGTCTCAGCAACTCAGTAAGGTCCTAAGCACCTGAACAACTTAGTGAGACTGTCTTTTGTCTCAAAGTGAAAAATATAAAGGGCTGGCCTGTGTTCAATCCCCAGTACCAAAATAGAGAGAGAGAGAGAGAGAGAGAGAGACACGGAGACTCTTTGACAATAAGAAAGACACTCTTTTCTTAAACAGTTCACATTTATTATTGGTAACAATAAAAAAATCTTTTAAAGACTATCAGTATTGTATTACCAAGAGTGAGGTAATATGTTTACAAAACATTTAGGGAATTCTGATATGCAAATAATGAATCTAGGAAAGTGAGTTAAGACACTAGTAATAGAAGGGAGAACCAACAGAATCATTGGAGCGTAAAAGGGAGACGACAGCAGCATTTCAAGAGCGGCAGGGCACGAGACGTCAAGAGATGCGCAGCTGCACAGGGAACCCTGTGCCCAATCCCTCACAAGACGAGGGGCCCCACGCTCCCGAGGGCCACCACGCTCCCGGGGGCCACGGGCACTGTGCAGTCCTATGCTGCTCTCAAGTCTCAGAGACACAGTCAGCTCTCTGGGGATAAAAGAGTGCCACTTCTGAACCAACTAAAAGGAACGCGTCTTCAGCCTGGGGTGGGGCATGGCTGCAAGTCAAATGCTCTAGAAACACCTCTGGGCACGTGTGGACGGGTGAGTGAAGCATTTTCTTGGCAGCTGTCAGCAAAATCGCCATCTGAGACAGAGAGACAGACAGAGACAGGAGAGACAGGGAGAGAGAGACAGGAAGAGAGAGAAGAGGGACCATCCTCAGGTCCTTGTAACTGGAGATGGGAAGCTCTGACAGCGCAGATGTGCTGGCCAGCCCTGCCATGCTCTGGGAACGAGGTTTCGGTGTCAGCGAGCTGCCTTATAGGGCAAGGGCAGGCGGGACCCGGGGGGTCCGCGTGTGCCTCAAGGTGCACAGGCACAGGAGCCAGAGGCCTCCTCTGGCCAGGAGCGGGGCAGTCAGTTTCTCCCAGGCTCACCCGACCTACTCATGGGGTGCACACTTGGCCTCCACACAGCTCTCTGGTCACATGGCCGCTCACCCAATGCCCAGGCTGAGTCAGAGCACCGTGATCTAGGACTGTGAAGGCTGTGTGGCGTGGTGCACAATTTAAAAACCCCTGCCACACAAAACACACATTGCATGTCTTTATCACACAACCAACCCTATGTGACTCCTGGACAGATTCATAAATAACGTGCCTTTCTCATTAAAAATTGGTGAAGGGGGGGAAGAGGGCAAAGAGGCTTGGTAGTTGGAAATCAAAAAGAAAATGTAAAAAGCAAACCGATCTCATACTCGGATTTGCTCCCGAGGACTCCTTTGCGACTCAAACTGAGCTTCCAGCTGTCCACCTGCACCATCACCCGGCTGCTGCGCGCACCCCACAAGCACCTGCACATGCATCCAGTTTCCACTTACAAACGCAAAGGGCTCCTACAGCCCCATGCCCTCCTTAAGTGACCCTGCTGGCAGCTAACACTCATTGCCACAGCTTCCAAACAGCAAACATGGCTGTTTCCAGAACACCCTCTAAAGAATGGCCGGAGCAGAAGTGGCCGAGCACAGCGAGCTGCTAGAGTACGCGGGAGGGGTGGCACTGAGCCCAGAGCACCCTCCCTGCAGTGGGAAGAGAGGCACCCAGAGGGAAAAGGGAGAACACCTCCACCCAAGTTCACAGAAAAATTCTACTCTGAAAAATATCGAAAGATTTGAAAAGGAGGAGAGAGAAAGCAATGTTTAATGATGGTGGCATTTTCCCGGAGTTGCGGGCGCCCCCAAGAACCCTTCCTGAGCCACCAGCCCCACTCAGGAACAGCAGCAGTTCGGCCCTAGGACTAGGTGCTGCTACAGACTGCCCGAGTCTTCCAGAGGAAAGGACTCGGGGGCTTCCACCGGATCCACCGACCATCTCGACTAACAGGGAGCCACAAGGACCGCGGTGCAGCTTAGGGCAAGCAGCTGGGGGCTTCTGTTCCCTGGGAGAAGGTGGGCTTGGCTCTGAAGACGTCATGGGAAGTCATTCACTAATGGACAAGGTGGAGCTTGTTGGAAAAATTTTTTGCATCAATATTTGAGACGAAGTCAATCTCTTAACTGGCAATATAAACCATTTTTCTTTCGAGAGAGCCCTTGCGCTCTGGTTTGATTTTGTGCACGCTGTGTATAAAATCTATGGCTATCGAGTTAAGGTCAGGGTCAGAGTTAAGACTACCTGTCGACAGTTCTGGGACGGCGTGGCTAGTTTACCATCTGGATGGCTAGAGCTACCTAGAGGGCGAGAGGAGGCTGCTCAACGTCGGTGGGCGGCCGGCACAGTTGGCTGTCGAGGCGCGGCCATCCCCTCCACACAGTGGACACAGGCTTCGCGGCACTACCTGGAAATCATGGAGCTGGAGTGAGACTGGCTGGAGGTGGTGGTGGCGGCGCTCAGCTGGGAAAAGCCACTGTGGCTGGACTCCAGGCTGGTCATCGAGCCTCTGCAGATGCAGGGAGGAGAAGAGGTGTGAGGACCCAGCCACAGGCGCCCGCTGTCCACACTGCTGCGGGCTTCCCACCCATCCTGCTCTCTGCCCCCTCTATGCCGCCCCCGCCCAGTCAGGGGGAATGGGCCACGAGTGTCCCATCCAGGGACAGCTTCCCCCAGCCTACACACAGCTGACACGACGCACAGGCAAAGGCTGTGCTGCTGCTCTGACACCCCTCGCCACAGCTGTGCAGTCAGAGCCAAGGAAGGGGCCCAGCGCTGCCCGGGAAGCCCGGACCCACCATCCCTGCTGCACACAGCTGGCTCTGGGGCCTCTGCTGAGCACCCTCACCCTCAAGGACGCCTGTGTGGGGAGGGAGCCCAGACCTGAAGTCCTCGGAGCCGATCACTTCTGTGTAGTACATCACTTTACACTTGTGTGAGGACACCTGCAGGGAGGCCAGCACGTCGTCCACCCGGGGCAGGTTGGTAGCCGCACACGCCGGCATGCTGTGGAACTTCCACTGCAGGATGTAGAAGCCTGGCCACCTGGTCACATGAGAGCCCTGGAGCAGCGGGGGAAGCAGGATGAGGAGGACTCCCTGACAAGCCTGGTCCCACAGTGGGGCTGCCGAGTGCCGGGGCGCTGTCTCCCAGCCTCATGGGGATGCGACAGCAGTCAGTGGCCATCTGGACAGGACTGGAGACCTGCTATCTGGATCACCATCAGGAAGGGCTTTGACAATATCCTTCCATCCACGATCAGGCCTGTCCCAAGGCCTCCAACAAGAGCTGGGAAGGCCACAGGAACGCCCCTCCCAACTGTCACCTTGCAAAATCACACCTCTACTATGGAAGGCCAGAGGCACCCGGAGGGCTGCCTAGACGGGAAAGCGGCAAGAGGCTGAGGTGAGCCACAGAGCATCTGGATGTAAACTAGCGTGCCTGGCCACCAGCAAGTGGCTCCCTAAGTTCTGCTCCTCTCTATGGTTCTCCTCTGACGAAGACAAGGGCAACCCCTCAAGTTCCATCCAGCACATGTCATCTGAAGGCCAGCTGTGTGTGTACACACTTTCTCCTGCCAGACGGCCCTTCTGTGCAGGGGAGTCCTGGGCTGCCTGCACGCTGCTTGGGTGGGAGCTCCCGCTCAGGGCCCAAGACCCGGATCTTTCTGGCCTGGCAGCTAGGCACACCCTGCCCTCCACCAACAGCAGAGCCTCCATGAGCCACCTGGGCTGGGGCAAAGCAGGAACACCCACTGTCAAGAGGAGGCCCCCATGGAGCGTCACGAACACGTGACTTTACCTGCACGCTTTCTCCTTCTTTGCAAATTAGGGGCGACTCCACCATGCTGTAGTCGCGGCCCAGCTGCCAGACCTTGTCGATGAGCTGCACGTTGTTCCCGCCTGGAGAGGTGATGCTGTGGGCCCCTAGGGAGTCCTTCTTGGGGGGCTGCGGAGACCTCTTGGAGTGATAGATATTAAAGACAATGTCGCCTTTGCACACGTCAAAATCCCAAGTGATCACAGAAGCAGCATCCACAATCTGAATGAGAATCTGGAAAACAAGAGGGGGAGTGACTCAATCGCACGTGTGAGGCCTGCGCTTACAAGCCCTGCAGGGGCCTTCCGGCCCAGAGGTGTGAGCCAGGAAGGGGCAGGAGGGACGGGCAGGACTGACGGGCAGGGGTGGTGCCTTCACCCAGGTCACTCAGCCCTCCAGGGCCCGTTCCCTCTCGTTCTTCTTTCCCCAAAGGCTCCTGCTACACATCGTGGAGGTGTGAGCCACTGTGCCTCTGTGACCTGCGTGTACCCTCCAAAGATGCCCAACAGCATCTGCAGACAGCTTTCTGAAAGTCGGTCTTCCAACCTAAGACGGGGAACTGGACACAGGGGGCCGGGGCTGCTTTGGGCTGGGGAGCAGCAAGGCCTGGAGAAAAGCAGGGGAGGCCTGGAGGGCACAGGCCACATACAGGAGTGCAGCTACACCAGACAAGCTGGAAGGAAGAGATGAGCTGTGAGGGGTGGGGGTGGCCTTGGGTGCCCAGTGCCATCCGAGTGCCACCCAAAACCCGGACTTCAACCTGCAGTGACAGTTCCCCCGCAGAAAGAGGTCAGCGTCAGTTTCAAAGACTAGTGGGGGAGGGGCATGAGAACCCAAAGCAGCTGGGCAGAGCTCTGCGTGGACTGGCCTCTGCGGCTCCCTCTGGAGGCCAGCTGTGCCCTCAGCACGGCCCCTCTGGAGGCTGAGGAGCAGGCCTGTGGAGCACGCCCTCCCTGCTGCACAGGACGCACCGCTTCGCCCCGGGTGGTCCTGCCTTGGGCTTGTGCCTCACTCATTCCTAAAGCAGAGCGCAGGTGTGGTAACAGAGGCCACTTCTAACAGGGACAAGCACAGCGCCATGCACCCTCAGATAGGGATCCATACAAATCATCTCAGGACAGTGTGACAGGGGGCGCATCAGGCTTCCTCTGCCGTTCAAATCACGGCTACAGCCTCCCTCATCCTCCACCCACCAGGGTCCGTCCGGTCAGCTGCTGGGAAGACATCAGCAACAGTGATCAGCAGGTGGCTGAGCAGGGAGCTGCCATGGCAAAAGCAGTAAGGGGTCAGCTCCTGGCCACCACCCTGGGCAGAGACAGCAGTCAGCTTGACCCAGCACCCCTCGTGTAAAGTGCTGCCACCCAGCCAGGACCCAGGACCTTGCCCAGTGGCCCTCACACTCAGGTCACCTGCACTGTTACAGACACGTGGGGGCTTCATGCAGGGACACTCTGGCCTTTGCACCAGTGTGACAGCAAGAAGAGGAAACAGAGGCCCACTGCTCCCTCCTCAGCCCCCTGCACTGACGGAACCGGCAAAGCTCTGAAGAAACTCCAAGTGGAGTTTCTTCCCTTGACCACTCAAGGGAAGCCTGGTCAAGGTGACCACTGAGTAGCCAGCTCAGGGGTGAAAGCAGGCTTCCGACAGGACCAACTCGTTCCCCATGTCCGTGTCAAGGCTCTCCAGCGAAACAGGGCAAGAAACCAGGCCCCCTTTAAGGCTTTGGCCACACAGTGATTTTCCATGTGAGAGACCCGCTCTTCCACGTGGTCATTTACCAAGATAGACCATCAGGGACCTGAAGACCCAAGAGCAGAAAGACCAGCGGCTCTTCTGATGGGCAGCGGGCAGCAGGCCTGGGGCGGCCCCTGGGGTGGCCGGGAAGGCGTACCTCGTGAGGGGCTCCTTTGAACACACTTGCAGACTGGTAGATGGTCTCGGTCCAGAGCTTCAGGTCTTCATTTTCCAGCTCCTCCGCAGTCCTATACAGAGATTTGGGGACCAGTCCACCCTCTGGCACTTCACACTGGAAATGTAAACACAGCCATGAGAGCTGTGCCCACAGCCCACAGCCCACAGCCCGAGCCCCCGTCCACGCCCACTGACCTCCTAAGAATCTAGACAGAGCCCTGGCAAGGCCGAGGCAGGCCGTGCAGCCTGTGAGATACTGTGGAAAACCACTGCAGTCCTGTGTTCTACTCTGAGTAAACACGAACAAGTTAAAGACGGTTTACCACAGAATTCACGCTAATATGCAGGAGGTACCGGACTCAATTACTACAGCTGTTTTTTATAGGATTTAAAAGACTTTCTATTGCACTACAAAGGAAACACATTATGTTAAGAAAGTTTTATTCCCAAGAACTACAGGCATTATTTTTACATAAAGTCTTAACTGGAGCTGGTTATGCAGGTCACTGATAGAGCACCTGCCTAGCACGTATGAGGACTCGCTTCAATCCCCAACACCACAGAAAAGAAAAAAACAAAATGATCAAATTTATAGTCAATTACTACCAACGAATAAAGCTTCCTGTATAATCAAACGATCAGTCTATACCATCACCCGCTATTATTAAAGGAGAACTTGAATGTGCAAGAAACAGCAGTGTCCTATTTGACAATGACAACTGATGAGTCATTGAACTGCAGCTTCACCTGAGAGTTCATAAAATCCAAGTACTCCCGACAGCAGCCCAGGAGGCAACCACACAGAGCAAACGCTCACACCCTCGGCCCGCAGTGCGAAGTGGAACTGTCCCCGCAAGGATGGCACGTTAGAAAACACCAGTTGACCGGTGGTGAGAAACCTTCTAGGCCCAGGAGCGCTCCCCTCCGACCACCAGGCTGAGTGGCTGCCCAGGAGGCATGTGGGGTCCCACAAGGCTCAAAAGATGGACATCTCAATAAGATGGACTCTCAGCACTGTGAGTGCGTCGGGCATGGACAGGCTACAAAGGCAGGTGCTACCTGCCAAGAGTCTGATACCCGACTCCACCTGTTTTTGTTTGGTTTGGGCACCAGGTACTGAACCCAAGGGTGCTTCAGCATGGTGCCCTTTTTGTTTTTTATTTTAGGCTGGCCTCAAACTTGAGATCCTCCTGCCTCAGCCTCCCAAGTCTCTGGGATTACAGGGGCACACCACTATGCCTGGCTACAAGATGGTTAGCTTTTCATGATGAAAGCAGTTTGTAGGTTTCCACAAACCTGACCCCATGGTTTGATCTCAGGGGCACCTGCTAAGTCACATCCTGCAACTTACTTGCTCTGTGCACTGTGGTGTGATGGTGCCTGCAGCTTCCTTAAAATGGAACTGATGAGCTGAGAGCTAAACTCTTGGGTTTCCTAAAGTCCTCTAACCATTGAGAAGGATCCCTCAACAGCTCAATTCCTTAGCTAAAGGAGTCAAACCCAGAGTGTGCACATCTCAAGGGGTAGCTTTAGTGTGAAGGTGCCCAGAGATCCTTGCTCTGATGACAGCCTCGATCCCTTGCTCACTTCAGCAGCCACGGAGCCCACAGATCCAATCCCACGGAGTTCCTCCAGCCCCAGCCTTCTTAGGCCTCCCCTGGGCAACTGCAGCCTCCAGGCCTCCAGATTCCTGCTCCTTTGGCTCCTGATTATCCAGCACCTTATTTTCTTAAAACCCCAAACTTACATAAAGGAGAACCACTTCCTTTAATTTTCCACTTTGAAAGTATTATCCTGGGTTACGTAATTGTCAAGGAACTGCTCTTGAAAGCTGATTCAGTGTTGCTTTGACTGCTCTTGTTTTGTTGGTGGTGCTGAGGATGAAACCCAGGCTCTTCTGCACGCTAGGCAAGTGCTCCAGCCCTGAGCCACGCTGTCAGCCCCGAGTCCCTGTTTGCTTTTCTGATACTGGGGATTAAACCCAGGGATACTTAACCACTGAGCTACACCTCCAGACACTTTTTAAAATTTTTATTTTGCTTAGTTTTTTATTTTGAGACAGGGTCTCACAAAGTTGATGGGGCTGGCTTTGACTTTGTGATCCTCCTGCCTCAGCCTCCTGAGCTGCTCAGCTGCTGTGCCCGGCCGAATCAATGCTGTAATAGTATTTTTTAAAAAACTAAAACAGTTACTAGATCTGATTCTCTCACGGCTGTGTTAATAAAGCAAGCTATTCTTACAATAGATTCTAAAAGATTCCCATTAGAATTTCACGTGAAGAAATGTGTTACCAACAATTATCTGAATGGCTCTCCTCAGTTCAACCTCAGGTCAAAGGTGACAGGCAAAAATCAAGAAATCCAAACTAAAGGTTCTGAAGTCATCTGTGCAAACCAATACCACTCTTCTAACGTCCTCAGTACAAATGTGTGCCTCTTTCCTCATACGTACCATGCACTCCCCGCTCAGGAAATCTGGAATGATCTCTCTGTCGATGTAGTCCAGCAGGCCGCCGGGGCCCTGGTAGTCATTTCCTGCGTAAATGAGGAACTTCCTTCTGGTGTTGTCATCAATGAATGGACTGACCTGTGAGGAGCCAGAGGCCGGGCTGTTTGATTTGCTGTCTGGTTTTCAAAGAGCAAAAGTCTGACAGGGGGCTCTGTCAGGTCCGTCTGCACAGCATTAGGACAGTCAGAAACATTTTGCTTTTTCTCCCCTTTAACAACATCTGAGTTTCACTCTGCATCTTACTTTGCTTTTTCCCACCTAGTTGAGACTCCAGGACACAGACATGCAGCGAGTGCACAAATATCTGCCTTCTAGAAGGCTAACGGTCACTGCAGAACATCACACAAACCCACCAGCGTCCAGAGAACAGGGAAGACCCTGGGTGCCCGGAGGATGAGAAGGCGGCCCAGTGTCTCTGGGTAATTGGCCTCCACCACTTCGATGATTCGCAGCAGGGCTTTGACGCCAGGTCTCCACAAGTGGCGCATGTTCAGCCCTTCCAGGTCCACCAGGCAGGTCCAGGAACTGCAGATGGTGCAGAGATGTGTTTTATTCAATAGACAGCATACTTGGCAAACTGGGTCCTATATTCAATGTTTTTCTTTCCATATTATAAAACAGTCTTTTTATAGTCGTTTCCAAACATACATCAGGTTTTTTTGTTTTGTTTTTCCATTTTTAGGCAACACGGGCATTGACTACAGGGGTGCTTTACTGCTAAGCTACACCCCCAGCCCTTTAAAATTTTTAAAAATTTAGAGACAGGGCCTCACTGAGTTGCCCAGGCTGGCCTCAAACTTGTAATCCTCCTACCTCAGCCTCCCACATCACTGGGATTACAGGCACACACCACCATGCCTGGCTTATACACCAGTTTTAAGAATTATGGTGTTATGAACTCTATTCACATCTACTTACATAAAACACATAGGCTCAATGTGGTAGGACCCACCCTGAACTATCAAAGCCATCAATGAATGGCTGACAGCATATAAAAGCCTCTCTCAGACATGCTCAGTGACTAGCAAGCAAGACATAAAGCTCCATCCCGACACCCTGTGCCTCTTCCCCAGGGCACACATCTGACACTGTAACACACACTTGGCATTTGCACTGCAATAAGCTATTCCACAACAAATGTTCACTGAGTCCAGCGCCTTCTGAGGGGCTGAGAGGCAGCAGTGAACACGCACCCTTGCAAGCCCTGCCCCGGGGAACAGACACTCTAGAAGAGCCACCCCCACCCGTCCATGTGTCCACCTTGGCGTCCCTGCACACTTTCACCCCACTTGACAAAGCCTGGAAGCCAGCTCAGGAACACAGCAGAGTTTGGGAGAATGGGGGTCGAAACAAAGAAGCAAAGGAGCTATGCTCCTGGGCTCCCAAGGACCTCAAGGCCCACTGCCCAGGCCAACCCATGGGGCCTGCTGGGATGCCCTGACAGCCGGGCCTAGGGGGCAAGGAGCACCAAGCCTGCAGCTGTCCCTCTCATTACTTTCTAGTTTTGAAACTCCTTGGAAAACAGTGAACTCCTAGACTTGGTCCTAAATACCAACTAGAAATATGGAATCCACATTGTCAGTAAGCCCAAAGAGCGCACACCTCTCACCCACCTGATGGGCCGGCCAAAGACCTTCGTGTTCTCTTCACAGCGCCTCAGGCCCTCTTCGTTTATGGAGAGAACCTGTCACGGAGGGCATGGAGACGGGGCAGGTCAAGACTCGCCCACCGGGCACACCACAGGGGAGCAGGCAGGGTGCCCACAGAGCATCCTGGCAGTGGTACTGGCTGACCACGGTCCGACAAGGACAACCATCTGGCTCTCAGGAGAGAGCAGATGCCATCCTCTGTGGTGAAGGGAGAGTCGTGTCACCGCAGGTTGGGCTCAGGGAGCCACCACTCTGGGATGGGTCTTCAGAACAGGTGAATTGGACAGCAGGAAAGAGGCAGTTGGGCATGTCCAGTGCGCCGTGCCACAGGAGGTCTCAGAACAGCCCCAGGCAGCCCAGGACAGCCCTTCAAGTTGGGGTGACAAGTGCTCCCTCGGAAGAAGTCCCTCTGTATCTGCATTTGTGCACCGCACAGATGACCATGGCCAGGGGCACGGACAGGAACCCACAGAAGGCCAGCAGCAGGGTGTGGGGGTGGGTCTGTCTGCTCTAGACACCTGGCTACTCCGCGGAGGACCCCGCAGTTAAAACATCTGCAGGACGATTGTGTCCTCCTCTGAGGTCTCTGCATACATCAGGCTCTCCTGTCTAACTGCAAGGGCAGGGGGCGCGGCATGGGACGCAGGGCAAGGCCAGCAACAGCCAGGACTTACGTATCGCAGCAGGGCTTCCTCGCCCAGGGCTCGTACCAAGCCCTTGGTGTCCATCTGCCCCAGCCTGAGCACGTAGAGAGGCCGTCCGTCTGCAGGGGAGGAAGCAATCAGAGGGTCCCTGTGTGGGGCATAGGACACCCCCGGGACCCCTGGCTCCAGGCTGGAGGTGGTGCAGTTGAAGAGCACCCACTGGGAGCAAGGCTGTGGGCTGCACCCCAGCCCCGCAAACAGGACTCCTGGGAAGCAGGAGTGCTCTGGAGTGTTCTGACAGGCCCAAGTTCTCCCCTCTGCTAAGCAGCAGCTGGCTTCAGTGTGGGGACAGGGGTGGGGTTGGCATCCAACATTTCCCCCAAAAGTCACAAAAGAAAAAAACCAAATAATGGTGCAGCTTAGCAGAGTCTGGAGATGGTGCTGCCGGGAGGAGAGCCGAGCCCAAGCCCAGCCTGTCCTGCGCGACAGCCGTCAGGCTGGGTTGCTTTGCTCGCACACAGGGCTTAGCAAGAGCCCAGAGGAGACTTCCGAATGCCTAGGATTTTTCTACGAATTCAGTTCAAGTTTCCTTTCTCAGAAAAATAAGCCTTTTTAATTTCATACGTTACCAATAAATTAGTAAGGTTTTTACAAGTCAGTCTTCCTCAATTTCCACTGAAGTCCAAGAAAAATGGGAACATTCTGGACACCAATCAGTACCCGCTGGCTCTGTCTCCGTAACCTACAGATCTAACGGAGGGAGCCTGAGAGGAACCTAACTCATCCCACAACCCTGTCATCGCCAGCCAGCCACACAGGGGAAGATGATCCCAGGGCCAGAGTGTATGCAGCGGCCGGCACCTCTCAGATTGCCGCCCTGTGGTTGAAAGGAGAGCAGCAGGATCGTCCTGCAGGGAGGCAGCGTCTGCCATGGGTCCTCCCGGGGCTGACCTCGCCTTTAGGGAACAGCTGGTTCCACATCTGTTTACTAAGCCAAGAAGTTTTCTGTGACCCCAAATCTTGTAGAAAAGCAAGTTTACAAAAAGTTTGTACCAACATTTTTTCAGGTGGTGCTGGAGGACTGAAGCCAGTGTTCTGTCGCTGAGTTGCAGCCACAGCCCTTTCTTTTTTCTTTTCTTTTGCAGCAATCTTGCTAAGTTAGTGAGTCTGGCCTTGAACCTGCAATCCTTCTGCCTCAGTCTGCAGAGCAGCTGGGATCACAGGTGCGTCCCATCATACCTGGGTCCCTCTTCCAACATTTATATGGGACACATCTGTCCATGTCTTACTACAAAACTTTTTAACCTTTTAAGGTTCCAGTCATATAGTGAAATAAATACAAATGTTTCCAGTTACAACCAATAAAGCTACAGTTACTTTGAAGAAAAACAATTTGGGTGCAGTGGCACACGAGTGACTTGGGAGGTTGAGGCAGGAAGATCACAAGTTTGAGGCTGGCCTTAGCAGGTTAGTGAGGGATAAAATAAAAAGGGCTGAAGATGTGGCTCAGTGGAAAAGCCACTGGGTTCAATCCCTAATACTAGTAAATAAATAGCCAATTAGAAAAACAAGACAGACTGGAGTATTATAGTTCTGAAAGGACTTGTTCAGAGACAGAAGAGGAAGCCAGTTCCACAGCAATCCCTGCAGCCCCCCTCCAATGACTGTGATTCAATTCTGTCCAACCACCAACCTGCAGCCCAGGAGGAAAGAGCATCGTAAGACAAGGCCGGCACTCCCGCGGGGGCCAGTATGCAAAGGGATGGCCACCCCCACTTTGAGTGTTGTGTCCCTGGTCTACTTGCTCCTGAGAGAAACCGCAGTTCTCTGCTATTCTGATATGGAGGCCTGGCTGGGCATGTCACAGCTACTGGAAGGCGTAAGTCATTAAATCCCTTTTATTAGCACAGTGCTGCTGAAGTCACTCTGTCACCAACATTTAAGTTTTGGGGCTTTTTAAAATATTTTTCTTGTAGATGGTCACGATATCTTTTTATATTTTCTTATTTTTACATGGGGCTGAGGATCAACCCAGTGCCTCACACGTGTGAGGCAGGCACTTCACCACTGAGCCACAGCCTGAGCCCAACGTTTGAGTTTTTAATATGTCAAAACAGACTCCACAGAGCTGAGAAAGGAAGTAAAGTCACTGTCCCAGGGCAACTCCAGGAAGGAGCCAAAGCCACTGCCCTCCTTCAGCTGCCCAGGTGGGACAGGAGTGTGCTGGAGGGTCTCACCAGCTGGCTCACACTGGAGAGCGCTTCCAGGTCCCGGGAGAGGAGGGCGATGCCTTGCAGGCCCCTGGCTCTCTGCGGAGCTCCTGGATGCCCCACGGGGAGACAAGATGGCAACAGACGGGGAGGCGCAGTGCCACCCACCTTTGTCGTGATGGTGCCATCCTCCCGCGTAGTAATCCTGAAGCACCTGGGGTGGGGTCCAGGTGTCCAGGATGTAGTCCACCTGGTGCTGCTTCCGCCATGTTAAAGATTGACACATGATCTCTCTGGCCTTGTCGATGTTAAAATCCCGAGCGCGTAGGAACCGAAGAATATGCTCATCCTTTGGGATCTAGAAGAAAAGATGCTTTTAGGACTGTTAAGAGTTGCCCAGCCTCAAAATGTCAGTTTTTAAAACGACTGGGGTGTGATGCAGTGGTACAAGACTCCTGGGTCCAACCCTAGGACTGGGGGTCCGGGGGAAGGTTTGTTGTTGCTAAGAGACCAAGACTCAAACTCCATCTCTTCTCAACAGTAACCTGCACCTTCATGCTGTTTAGAACGAGCTGCTGCTGGGGCAGGGAGCAGCTCAGTGGTACAGCACTGCCCGGCGTGTGAGGCCCTGGGTTTGCTCTCCACCACCGGAAAAAAATAAAATTAGCTATTCCCAGAAAAATCTTGGCCTGATGTTTAATTAAAAAAAAAAAAAAAAAAAATCAATATCTGATTTTTCTAGTGATCTTCCTAAAGCACCCTTTCAGTCTGGGCAATGTGAAGGCACAATGTCTGAAACACAGGCAACAGTTCCAAGCTATGTGACGGCATACCATTGTGCCCTGTGCACTTCTGCGTGGAGATTCTACTAAAAATTGGAATGAAACCATGCTGGGATTGGCAGTGTGGGGGTGCTGCTGACATGCAGGAACCTTCTCAAGACCCTGTCAATCAGCCTGGTCTCCCTGAATAAAGAAGAAGGCTGAGTCCAGGATCTGGGTCTCATTTGGACCAGGTCTCTTCCCTCTGTGGTCACCTGTTCGCTAATGCAGGTAGCCAGACCATCCAGAGACCATGAAGAGAGTGGGAGCAAGAGTCTGCGTGGTATCCCACCTTGGCACATAATCAAAGCATAGGGTGCAGTGATTTGGCATCATCTTCACTTGGAAAGCAGCACAGGCACATGGAAGCGGTTAAGAATGTGGGAACACACCTATAATCCCAGCACCTCGGGGGGCTGAGGCAGGAGGATCACAAGTTGGAGGCCAGCCTCAGCAACTTATGAAGACCCTGCCTAAAAATAAAAAAGGGGGCTGGGGATGTGGCTCAGTGGAAGAGCACCCCTAGGTTGAATATCCTGTATCTAATAAATAAAGAGGAATATGGTGCTGAAACCACATGGTCTTGGTTCAAATCTTGGCCCCACTGTTTCCTAGCTTAAGACCTTGAAGCAAGCTGCTTAACTTCTCCATGCCTTGGTTTCTGGACCTTTGAAAGAAGGAGATGATGGAACAGCACCCACCTCTAGGCCTGTTGGGAAGACTACACGAAGAGCTAAAAGCATGTCTAACACACGGTCGCAGACACCAACAGTAGCTGTTTTCCTAATGACTGGTGTTAAAAAGCTCTCGGGGGCTGGGGCTGTAGCTCAGTGGCAAAGCGCTTGCCTAGCATGCGTAAGGCACTGGGTTCAATCCTCAGCACTACATCAAAATTAATAAATAAAATAAAGGCATTCTGTCCATCTACAACTATTAAAAAAAAAAAAAGCTCTCATGCAACCAGGACTGAGAGAATTAGAGACCGGAAAAACTGTGTGCAGGTGCCTGCTTCCTGCACTGGGCCATTAAGTAACCTTTATGCTTGCTACATAAACTTGTTATTAAAACCAAATTTATTATGTGGCTACAATTTCACATAAAACTTCAGAATTAAAGCTCAAACATTTCTAATCTTGGATAAAACTCTGACCTCCTTCCGAATCTTTTCAAAATTTAAAATGCATGGCTACCTGGAACATCATGCTACTCTGCCACTCGATGACCGACTGCTTCTGAGCAGACCATCTCAGCAACAGCGCACAGAGCAGCAGCCATGCACACGAGGAAGGGCAGCCCAACCTGTTGCCAGGCACGTGGGCTCCAGCTGGCGACACTCCCGTAGGGATGACCTCTCCAGCTGCAGCAGGACCAGAGATGGCAGACTGCACAGCCTGGGGGCCAACACTCACCTTGCCCTTGTGGGTTTCCTGGAGCCACTGGCGAAGCCTGATAAGGCAGCTCTCCTGGAGTGGGGTCAGGTCACCCAGATACCTCTTGATGTAATCGGCATCGAGTTTGTCTGCAATGGGAACAACATGGCACCATTTGCAAAGATGAACTCTGTCCTGAGGCTCTCGTTGCCTGGTAGTGCCAGGTGGGGCTAGAGTCTTGGGGTGAAGGAGACTACAGAGAGGACACATTTAAAGCAACCACCCTGGAGAAATTAGTGACATCTTTAAGACACCACAGAACCAGAGGTGAGCCTTCTGACTCAGCTACCTTTCCCTGATTACCACACTGAACTACCTCAATTCAATTAGCCACAATGCCACTCATGACATCACCATGACTAGAGGAGACATTCAACGACTGGTTTAATTCAAAGTGACAAAGCCCTTCCATGATATAAAATTGTGAAATGAAACAACCAAGCAGATCTAAATCTTCGTTAAGGATCCAGCTACCGTGTTCAAGAACACAGTTTCTCCAGATAAGGTACCACTGGACAGATGAGTACAACAAAATAAGTACAACAAAAAAATATTCACAAGGTGAAAAATAAAACATATCCCCAAATCATCCCCACTCCCAGCAAACTGTTGAAAGTCATCAAATGGCACAGTTAGCTGCCAACAGAATGTATGCAAGGCCGGGTATGGCGGCACTCGCCTATAATCCCAACAGCTCAAGAGGCTGAGGTAGGAGGATCACAAGGAGCCCTGTGCCCCAAGTTCAAGGCCAGCCTCAGCAACTTAGAGAGGCCTTGTCTCTAAAATAAAAAAGGACTGGGGGTGTGCCTCAGTGATAAAGTGCCTGGTACAAAACAAAAGTATGAAGAGATACTGATATTTTAATGAACGTTCTGAATGGCAGAACACTCTTGTCTTTTCTTACTTTCCTGTGTTTTCTGAACTCTTAACAATGGGCATTACTCTCAGCACATGCCAAGTGGAGCAGTGGCTAAAGCAGTCCCTGAGCCCGTCCACCTGGGCACAGTCTCAGCCCTGGACCGACTCCCTGTGCCCCAGGCAGGTCAGGTCTCTGCCTCAGTCAATGTAAACACAGGGAGCATCTTCAGCTTCCCCCACCCAGAAGGAGCCACAATGGCGTGAGCACCCTACACTCAGTGCCTGGACAGTCCCTGGCACCTGAGCAGTGAGGTGTCCAGCGGTGGGAGTTCTAGGAGAAAGCACGGATGGCTCGTGCTCACCTCAGGCACCTGCAACTAACCTGAAACATCTTTTTCTGCCCATTAAAAACAAAAACTAAGAAAAAAATCACATGAATGTATCACATAAGCTATAAGACAAGGAAACGAGACCAGAAACAACAAATGGCTTTCCTTCTCCACGTGGTGCTGTGTGTCCTAAGGAAACAGGAACAGGCAGAGCAGTAGAGAGGAAAGGCCCCACACGACTCCTAGTCTAGCCGGAAGAATGGAGCCTTCTTCAGACCCACCATCAGGGGTTCCCACCGTGGGCTCAGGGGTCCCTCCAGGGTTGCTGAGGGCCTCTCCATTCAGCCCCTCCTTGAGGGCAGCCTCTGGGACCACAACAGCCGTGGATGCCACCTGACTCTTGCTGGACGAGGACGTCTCTGAAGAGGGCCCGATGGAAGGTGGGGTCCAGCGCGGCACGAAGGTGATGCCCTCTTCTTCAAGCTGACGAAGGTAGTACTCAATGATTTCCTTCCCCTTAGGAGGAGACCAAGGTTAAGGTGAGTGTAGAGTCGATACTTTAATCATTTGTCCCTTACCAATTTGTGAGGTAACTACCAAAAACTAAGGGCTGAGATATAGCTTGGAGGTAGCATGCCCCAAACTAATCTAGAACACTGATCTATCAGACACACTTGTACTGAACACAATTCTAACCTTGTACCCGAAAATACAACCACCTTCGAGAGCCCCCCACCACCCCACACCACAGCTTTAAAACCACGACCCACAGCTCCCAGAGAGCGAGCGGCCGCACCTGAGAAGGTCCAGGGAGCCCTGCCTGGCCACCTGCCAAGAATCTCCTCAACACACAGAACTTTCCATCAGCAGACCCACAAGTAGAACCCAGGGGTGCGGCCACCTCACCCCAACTTCCCATGTTCCCACAATTCCAAGTAGAGAATGTGGTGGCCAGGAGTGACCCGCCTGTGCCTCCTTCACTCCACCTGCAGCCAGCACCACCAGCCCCGCAGGGCTAAACAGAAGGCCCAGGGCAGGGTGGAAGCACATTTCTACCCCCGAGTGACCCGCTCCCGGCCTTCCAGAGGACTAGCTCGGACACCTCAGGAGACTGCTGCCCTCCCTTTCCCATGAAGTCCCAGAGACTCACTTTTTTAATGTTGCTGGTGTACTGTTTCATGGCAATTTTTTCCACTGTACTTTCAAAACCAAAGAAAGATTTGATGTCTAGACTTGCAGACTGTTCAAAACAGGTCCAGTCTTCGTTCTCAGGGTGAACCTGCGGGTGAAGAGAAGGCCTGCTGTGTGCGGCAGCGAGGCCTGCTCTGCTCCCCTCGGCCAGCGACCAGAAGGAGCAGTTCTCTTACAACAGAGTTACTCCCACGGAAACAGCACAAGGAGGGTTACAGAGGGCTCAAACTCCAAGACACCAGCGTGGCCTGAGAGGAGCGCTCGTCCTCCCCTGCCCAGTCCCTCACCTCCCTACACACAGAGCCGCTCTCCCATTAGGAATGAAGGAAAGACCCTTCCGTGTCACTGACAGCCTCACGAGGAGACAGACGGCCACGAGCCTTGGACAGAAAGGTGAGGAACTTCCAGCTGCTGGAAGATCAGGGCCATGGGGAAAGCGTAGAGCGGGTTAAGGGGACCGGGGAGGGCTGCAGGCCGCGCTGTCGACTGGCCACTGGGAACAGGGATCTGGGCAAACCTGAAGGAGGGCTGGGGAAGTCCTCGGGAGGCTGGCGTGCTGGCAAGCGTGCTGGCAGCCATGTACAAGGACTGAGGGGGAACCGGCCCTCCCAGGCCACGGCAAGCACTCGTGCTTTTCTCTGAGGGTCATGTGGAAGCACTGGGTTGTGAGCTCAGTGATAAAACTTGACAATCCTAAAACAGTTCACTGTGGGTTCAGCATTAAGGATACACTGGAGGTGGCTAAGGCGGCAGCAGACACACCATGCAGGAGGCCACTCTAATGACCTAGTGAGAGCAGCTCTCAAAGCAGGGTGGTCGGCAGTGAAGGTGACAGCCGACGTGTGCTCCCAGCTCTAATCTCAAACACACACACCATCCTGCTCTTCAGAATGCATTTCTCAAGTAGCAGAGCATGGCAGTGGAATGACTTGGCTATGACTGCCACCACAGTGCAATCCTGCCTGCAGGAAGCCACACCTGCCACTGCTGATCCCCTTCAGAACTGCTAACAGGAAATATATGGCAAAGAACTACCCCAGGACAAAGAGGCACGCCGTTCCAGTGATGGCTGACCACCTTTGGAAGCCGTGCCCCCGTGCCTCCCGGCTGGCGGGCTCCGCCCAGGGCTGTGCACTCACGGTGTAGCAGCAGTGCTCGTTAATGATGACCCGATTGGAAAACGTTTCATTATGGGCCTCAATGTGCAGAGTGCGCTCCCGAGAATTGAGAGAGTTTTTCTGGACAAAATAAACATAATCAACTCCTGCAATCTTTAAAAAAGAAATAAAGAGAAAAGGGTTTATTATCAACACCACTGTGACAGAAGCGGAAACATAAATTCTCTATCTCTGGGACCAACGCCTTCCGGCAGGCCTGGGCAGTTACCTTCTTCAACAGCCGGGGTGCGTCTATGTCCAGCTTGCAGCGCCTTTCAATGACGTGAATGGCCCCGTCTTCACTCTTGAATTCATTCACAGTGTCACTGTCCACAAACATGGGAATCAGCGGACATGTAGGGAACCTCCTTTCATAGGCCTATGGATAAAAACAAACCAAAAAGAGAGAGGAAGTGAATGAAGTCCCAACCTCAGTCTCTCCTTGCCCGAAAGGGAAGGAGTGCTCAATCTTAGCCCGTGCCCACAGGAGGCGCCACAGCTGGGCTGGTCACCTGCAGCTTTCACTAACCTGGAAAAGATGTCCACATTCACGACAGTCTGGTGAATTGTCGATTCTGTCCACATAGATACAGGCTAAACATAATTTCTACCAAAATTCTAGCAAATATACTTTGGAGCCTCAGGCAAGATTATTTTACAACTTACATGGAAAAGCGAAGGAACTAGAGTAAATGCCTAGTAAGCTAAAATGATTACTGAAAATGAATAAACTGGAGGGACTCCCGCCCCAGGTCTTTAGGCTTACATGTAGCTATGGTTACACAGCAGTTACATAGTATTGATGGACAGACACACAGCTCCATGGGACAGAACCCAGAACTAGACTCAAACAAATATATCCAAATGATGTTTCCCTTTTTCTTTTTCTCTTTTTTGGTGCTGGGGATGGAACCCACGGCCCTGTACATGCTAATCATGCACAAAACCTTGACTTAAACCTTGACCTAAACCTCACATCTTATGTACAAATTAACCCAAAATAGGACTGCTCATCTAGCATGCTGAAAGCCCTGGTTATGATCCCAGCACTGCAAAAACAGAAGACAAATGAACAGAAACCAAGATAAACCATAGACTTAAGCAAAACATAAAACTATGCACCCAAAATCAATCTGTAAAAGGAAAAATTTACTTCATCAAAACCAAAGACTTTTGCTTTCCTACAGTCCCTGTTAAGAGGAAGACAAAACAAGTCACAGACAGAAACTACTCACAGACCACGTTCTCTGGGAAAGAGAACACACTGAGAACACACAGAACCCAACTAACGCAGTGAGCTGCACAGCAACGCGCACGGTCAGCACCGCTCACCCGAGAATGGCTGGGGCAACCTGCAAGGTCCTGCTCAGAGGCGGGCAGGGGGTTAAGATGGTAATTTTTAAAAACTCAACAGTTAGAAAATAAGCCACAGACATCTCACCAAAGAGCACACATACAGGTAACTAGACGGTCAATTGAGCAATGAGCTACCACAGAAATTCATACTGAAGCCACAAGGAGGTCTCGCCACAGATCTACCAGAATGACAAAACACAGCCCACCATGTGCTGGTAAGATGTGGAGAGCAGCCCCCAGACACTGCCGGCAAGAATGAAAAATGGTGTCACCAGGAAACAGCTGGGTACTTTCTTAGCACCAAACAGGCAGCTGCCACACAGCCGGGGCCAGCACCACCCTCCTGGGCATCTGTCCCAGAGGAACAAAGGCCACATGCACAGACCCTCCAGGCAGCTGAACTCCCAACAACCCAACTACAATCACCCCAGGGTCCTCCACCGAGTGAATACTGGGCAACCTACAGCCACAGCCTACTGCTGGCCATGGAAAGGGCTGAGCCACTGTCCACGCAATGACCTGGACAATCCCCAGGAAACTACGCTGGGCAAGACAGTTCCAACAGTTCCATGCTGCGGTCCCATTCACTAACACTCCTGGAAAGACAAAATTAAAGAGACCGCGAACAGACTTTCAGTTGCCAGGGTTCAGAAGAGATGTAGGTGTGGCTGCAGGACGCCAGCACCCTGACCACAATGCTGTATTCCTATATTCCCAAGATGTCACCACAGGGGACATGGGTGAAGACTGGGTAGGATTCTTCCATGTCATTTTTTGTGACAATATACTATTAATATACTGTGATCTACGAGTATCTCAAAATAAAATGTAAGACTTGCTACATAATTTGGGACGACATTTGGAAAATGCACTGAAGCAGCCGATTTAGTTTACTCCGCAGCAATCTACAAAGATCACTGAGCTAGAGACACTGCTGGAAGCACAGCTAACCCAGGTGTCCCAGCCCAGGTACATGGCACAGATGCCACAGGATGCAGGGAGCAGTCTAGCCATAGGCGGCCCAGGATCTCCTTTGCTTTCCCCACCCATAAAGGAGGAAAAGCAGGGTAATGATGGTGCCCAGGTGACAGATGCCATTCCTCTGTGGGACTGGACTAAAAATGGGAGGAAAGGTTCTGTGACTTCCCATCTTAGATTCATCACAACCTAAACCAAACTTTAGGAAGACATCTATGGAGTGAGTTCATGAGAAAATGGCACAAATGGCTCGATTCTACCTCTGACAGGTGCAAGTAGTCCAAAGCTCTGTCCAGCAAGGAGCTATGGCCTTCCGTGCACGAGCTCCTGCTCACCCACTGCAGGCCTGCTCACCTGAGCAGCAAGCAAAATGCAGACCACGGCACTGTCACGAGGCTCCAGAGGGCAGGGGGGAGCACAGGAACTCCCAGGAGCCCCCACTGCAGTTCCTTGCAGAGTCGCCCTCACTTCCAGATGAGTCCCACTTGTTCAGCTTATGTGACCAAGTAACTGGCTTATAAGGTCCACCAGACTAGGCAGCAGAGGGGAGCGAGGGAGGCAGCTGACACCAAGAACTCGGGGGCGGAAGGCGGGAGTGTCCTGAAGATGCACAGGTTCCACTGAGGTGGAAGGAGGGGAGAACAGAACTCGGCGCACAGAGGTTGGTGGGGGAAGCAGCAGCTCAGGCCTCGAGCCCCCAGAGCTGTCACATCAGCAATGACAGCATGACAGCATGTCCAAGAAAGAGAACACAGAAGCACAAAGAAGCTCCCGGCAGGCAGGGACCACACCCCAAAGGCAGGAGGGAAAGCCCGGGTCACCAACAGGGACACTGACACAAAAGGCCTCCTGGGCCTCTCCTCCTCTTCAGGGGACAGGGAGGAAGGAAGACTGGAGTGATAAGAGTCACAGCGGGACAGCCTGGAAGGGAGGCAAGACCCACGTGGGTGACTGAGCACATGTGCCTGTTGGATGTCCTTCCTTTGAGAGTGGAAAACACACTCTTCATGTTAATGCCCTGACCTCCTCCTCCACTCAACAACGTCTCCTCAGCTCCACTAGGGCCAGGACCCTGATAAAGTGTCGGGCTCTCGTGCCTCTTTCCATAAACACCTGAGAGGTGTCTCACTGCTGATCACACCTTGGATAAGCCTCAGGAGGCCCTGGGAATGTGTGAGCATTAAGTACTGAACAAACGAGCAATTCTAGTAAGAAAACCTGAAATCACTGACTTCATTTGTTCCATATTAACACTGAAAACCACCTAAACCGATTTTTAAATTATACACTTAAAATCAAAAACAAAAACCCCTAGCTTTGTACATTACAGCACTATAACACCAAGAATTTAAGTGCACAAGTCTTCAAACAAAAAAAAAAAGGTACTCATTCTCTCTTAGTAGAGGACCTGAATTAGAAGATTTTCTAAATACCCTCAGTATATTTAAGTTCTTGAAATGGAGTCAACATGAGACATTACCCACAGGACCAAGCCGGAACTTAAAAAACCCTCCCCTCCCTATGGCACCGTGGCCTCCAGGATCCCATTGGCAGAGAGGGCCCATCCCCTAGGGATGAACCAGACAAGGTTCAAGGCCTGCACCTCCCAGCCTCTCTCTAGAGCTGTCTCAGGGTAGACAGTACCTTCCCTTCTCCAAGTCCCAGCACTCTGCCACCAAATGCCTTCCTTGCTGGCCACAGGCAAAGACCAAGTCCCACTTTTCTTTTGGCCCTGAGAAAGAAAACACCTCAACGTTCTTTGTTTAATATTTTTGAATCATGGAATAAAAATGTTAGCTAAGTAGCCTAAGGAGTCTCGCTCTCCCTGGCCCGTGTTTAGAGATATCTAAGGCCAAAGGATTCTACATAATGTGAGCCAAGAAAACCTAGCTTCCTAGAGGATTATGGGAAAGTAAAGCTGAGAAAAGTCGATATAACTTTAGTCTCTGGAATTTTTCAAACTCCAACCCCTAGTTTTCACCTACCTCTACAAAGTATATAAGAAACTCCTGAAAAACAAACAAAAAAACAGAAGCAGTCTAGTTTTATTTAAAAAATGACATCCTAAGCCAGTCATGGTGGCACATAACTGTAATCCTAGCAAATCAGGAAGCTGAGGCAGGAGGATTGGGAGGATCGAAAGCTCAAGGCTAGCCTCAGTGACTTAGTGAGGCCTTAAGAAACTTAGCAAGACCCTGTGTCAAAAGGGGTGGGGGGTACTGCAGGGCACGGTGACACAAGCCTGTAATCCCAGCGCTCTGGAGGCTGAGGCAGGAGGATCATGAGTTCAAAGCCAGCCTCAGCAAAAGTAAGGCACTAAGCTACTCCTAGTGAGGGCTGGGGATGTGGCTCAGTGGTCAGGTGCCCCCGAGTTCAATCCCCAGTTCCAAAACTACAACACCACCACCACCATGTCCCAGCTCTGTCCACTGCAAAGGCCTGAAAGCAATGCCCTCAGTAGCACTGAGCTAACCTGGCACTAGATCTTAATTTGTAAATACATTCCCCACTGAGAAGGAACCTATGCTTTGGGAGAAGTGGTAGGATTACGACTCTGGAGCAAGGACAAGGCTAGGTGACTGTGAAGCACTTCCCACCCAAGAGGAATAACTGGCAGGACTATGTACGTCTGAAGGACACGGGAACCAGCCTGCAGGGGTTTCACCCTCCAACTCTGGGTTAATGTGAGCACCAGAAAGCAAAAAGAAGGCAGGGCAGTATAAACCATGGAATGCAACTAAGAAAAATGGTCAGGGTAAGAAATTTTACAGAAAAAAAAATGTTATCTAATAAATACAGAGGAATGTTGTGATCGGGAAATCATCAATGCTTGGTGTGGGTAGTCCCAGTGACTCAGGAGGCTAAAGCAGGAGGATCACAAGTTCAGGGCCAGCCTCTGCAACTTAGTGAAGCCCTAAGCAACCTAGTAAGACCCTGTCTCAAAATAAAAAAAATAAAAAATAAAATGGGCTGGAGATGTAGTTCAGTGGTAGAGCATCCCTGGGTTGATCTCCAGTACCACAAAACAGACAGAAAATAAATTTT